TATGTATGCATGTATGTATGCATGTATGTATATGTATGCATGTATGTATATGTATGCATGTATGTATATGTATGCATGTATACATATGTATGCATGTATGCATATGTATGCATGTATGCATATGTATGCATGCATGTATGTATATGTATGCATGTATGTATATGTAGTTATGCATGTATGTATATGTGTGTATGCATGTATCTAACCCAATTGCCTACATGATTGGGTATAAAAAGAGCCTCTCAGAGTGTCGTGTCTGTCAGAAGCCAAGATGGTAAGAGGATCACCAATTTCACCATTGTTGCGCATAAAGATAGTGCAGCAATACCAGAATGGTGTTACTCAGCGTAAAATAGCAAAGACTTTTAAGTTATCATCATCAGTTGTGCATAACATCATCAAAAGATTCAGAGAATCTGGAACAATCGCTGTGCGTAAGGGTCAACGCCATAAAACTCTACTGGATGCTCGTGATCTCCGGGCCTTTAAACATCACTGCACCTCAAACAGGAATGCCACTGTCAAGGAAATAACAGAATGGGCTCAGGAATACTTCCAGAAAGCATTGTCAGTGAACACAATCCACCGTGCCATCCACCATTGCCAGCTGATACTACAGTGCAAAGAGGAAGACATTTCTAAGCAAGCTCCACAAGCTCAGACGTTTGCACTGGGCCAGGGGTCATTTAAAATGGAGTGTGGCAAAATGGAAGACTGTTCTGTGGTCAGATGAGTCACGATTTGAAGTTCTTTATGGAACACTGGGACGCCATGTCATCCGGACCAGAGAGGACAAGGATAGCCCAAGTTTTTATCAATGCTCCGTTCAGAAGCCTGCATCACTGATGGTATGGGGTTGCATGAGCGCTTGTGGCATGGGCAGCTTGCATGTCTGGAAAGGCACCATTAATGCAGAGAACTATGTTCAGGTTCTAGAACAACATATGCTCCCATCTATACGTCATCTCTTTCAGGGAAGACCCTGCATTTTTCAACACGATAATGTCAGACCACATTCTGCAGCAATCACAACATCATGGCTACGTAGGAGAAGGATCCAGGTACTGAAATGCCTGCAGTCCAGATCTTTCACCTATAGAGAACATTTGGCGCATCATAAAGAGGAAGGTGTGACAAAGAAGGCCCAAGATGATTGAACAGTTAGAGGCCTGTATTAGACATGAATGGGAGAGCATTCCTATTTCTAAACTTGTGAAACTGGTTCCTGTGTCCCCAGACGTCTGTTGAGTGTTGTAAGAAGAAGGGTGGTTGCCACACAGTGGTAAAAATGGACTTGTCCCAACTTTTTTGGGATTTGTTTACGCCATGAAATTTGGAAACAACATATTTTTCCTTTAAAATGATACATTCTCTCAGTTTAAACTTTTGATCTGTGATTTGTGTTCTATTCTGAATAAAATATTAGATGTTGGCATCTCCACATCATTGCACTCAGTTTTTATTCACAATTTGTTTAGTGTCCCAACTTTTTTTGGAATCCGGTTTGTAAATCTTGGTTTGCATGGAATCAGAGCCAGTCTCATGTAGACATGTAGTAAGCTGAGAATCATCAGTAACATCTGTAGACTCATCAATGACTCTGAACAGCTGCATCCAGCTGTGCCAGCACATCATCTGCTAATATTTCAGATTTTCTGCTTGCTGTTGAAGCTGACATCAGGATTTGATTTTTTTTTTTTTCCACACATCTTGCCTTTTTGTTTTCCATCAAATAATGTCTCATTTAAGCACTCCTTCGGTGCTTTACTGTCACCAAATATTTTTTTTTATATTGCCCCAAAATCCACGACACGTTGAGTGAACATTCAGCAGCTGCTGGGCTGTAAAACTGATGTAGGGTGGATCTGCTTCCAGTTCGGTTAATTTACTGTTCTCTGCTCGGTCTTCAGCAGATAACGTTCAAAAGATATGTGGTGAAGAGTGCGTCACGTTGCCACTTTTAATTAATGCGACCATTTCAGAGCATTTGAGGCAAACGGGTTTTGAACTTCCTGCCGGAAGAATGAACATAAATTTCTCTGTCCATACATCTTTACAACAGCAGTTTTCAGCATCAAATTTTCTTTTCTTGGAGCACGACATACTGTCTCTTCCTTTCTTCCTTCTCTGGTGAGAGCTCGCTGCACCGACTGTGCAGGGAAAACAAAAGATTTGATTAGCTCATTGAGTGACGCTATTACCGTAACACCTGAAGTACAGTGAACTTCCAAAACACACCTCCTATAGCTCTGCAACTAAGCTGACTGTCACTGGAAAAATTCTCCATGAAAATGATCTATTTTCCAGAATTTATCAGATTGGGCAGGGGTCTGGACAGAACCATCACTCGGTCCGTATCCAGACCGAGGTCCGCCTATTAGTGAATTTTGGCGTATAATGTCTCGTCTGTGGCACTCTTGTTCAATGTGTAGGAGCAAACCAACAATCTCCTCGGTCCAAAGGAAAATTCAAGTATTCACCATTTAATAATAATAATAATAATAATGTGTTATGTGTTGTCATCATTGTATGTTCCCATACAAAGAGTAAATTGTCTCTCTAATTAACCCATCCACCACTGGGTGGAGCAGTGGGCAGCTATGGAAAGCACCCAGGGAGCAAATGAAGATGAGATGTCCTGCTCAGAGACACCACAAGGTGTGCAATGACTACGGATCGAGCCCGGGACTTTTGGGTCCTAAGTCGGCTGCCCTGCCCATACACCATCTCGACCCCCTTTTTGGTTGTATCTGTGTTCATGCTGACACTACGTGTGTCTCATTGAGAGCCCAGCCAGTTTTGCCAGATAACCACTATTGGTGTTTTTTTTTTTTTTTGCCTCCTCCTTTTTTCTGTGAACATGTTCACCAATCCATTTCAATTCAGTCAGAACACACACATTATTTTACAACCTCCTCCCTCCAAGAAACAGCACCATTTTATAGCAACAACACAACGGTTCATCATTTCCTATCTGGCAACCCTGCCTTGCATGGAAAGTACAGTGGATCAATGTAAACACTTTTTTTTGCTTATTCGCCACAAAAACCATTGACAGAACAACATTCTTGAGATTCTTCTCATGTAAACAGGGTCGTAGTTTCTTTTAACCTGAGGTCATTGAGAGCCATCTACAACATGTAAGATATTAATTGTTCAGAACCTCTCCATAAAACAACAGTAAAATAGGCCAGATGTGTTTTACTTGACTGGGACAGTGTCACACATTAACACTAGATGTCACTGTGATGCTGTTTCAGGACTATCCAGGTCATGGTTTCTCCCCCAACATGAAGCTGGAAGCAGTTGACCTGATGGAACCAAGGTTGATCTGCGTGGCCACTGTGAAGCGCTGTGTGGGTCGCCTGCTGCTCATCCACTTCGACGGCTGGGATGAGGAGTTCGACCAGTGGATCGACCACCAGTCTCCAGACATCTACCCTGTTGGCTGGTGTGAGCTTGTGGGCTACGAGCTCCAGCCGCCTGCTGGATCTGGTAAAACATCATTCATAAAAAATGCTCACAGTTCTGAGCAGAGGTTCACTTTACCTTATTTATTCTGTTTATTCTATTTTATTTACCTTCATCTTGATGCTAGTGGTGGAAAATTTCCATTAAATACAACAATAAAGTGACAGAGGTTTTATTTTGTTTTCCAGTTGATTTAACTGCAAACCAGGTGACACCGAACAAGAGACCCAAGCCCTTCGTGTACAGGAAAAAGAGTATGTGGAGTGTGCATGGCGTCTTGTCTTGTTGAAACACACTGATTTACACAGCCTTTAAAATGAGCTTCTGACTGCAGCTCGTGTTCCGCTTGTTGATAATAGTTTCCAGTTCTGTGTCTGCGGTTCTGAAACTGCATGGGGCCATAAAACAGAAGCAACTCAGCTGAATCAGAGGACGTGCTGGCATGAACTTCTCTCCAACTGCATCCATTCATTTGTTTACTGTGTTCAATATAGAGTAGAGCTTCCAGACCTTCCAGTGCTGTTCCTTTTTGAACACTCAGCTACCCTTCATATTTATGCTCATATGATTTATTAGTTATATATATTTAATTATTAGTTATGTGTCACATAAAAAACATTTTAATGCAGGCCTGGTTCTGAGGTGATGGACTGCACAAAGGATCCATCACTCTGTGCTGCCTCAGACAAGCAAAAATAAAATGGACTACCTCTGTTCTTACACTCAGTGTAAGGCTTACCCACTGAATATCTTCAACCACAAACAGACTGCATTTGAACAGAAAATGTAAGTACTGTAAACCTTAGACACCACAAACATCCATTATCTTTACCCACTACTTCATTTTTGGGTAGCAGGGGGTCACCGGTGCCCATGTCCAGCTATCACTGTGCGAGAGGCAGTGGACACCCTGGACAGGTTTCCAGTCTATCACAGGGCCACTACCCCTTTTCCATTAGTACAGCACAACAACGGTAAAGCCAACTTGACTCGGCACTGTTCCAAGGCTTTTCCACTAGCAACAGTTTGTAGAACCGGTCCCTTTTTCAGAACTCTTTTCTCTTGGGTTCCAAGCGGGCCAAACCAGCACCAAAACTGGTTTAGATTTAATGGTGAACTAAAGTTCATTAAAAGTTCATTAGCAGGATTTATATATATATATATATATATATATATATATATTAGTGTTGATCATTTTAATGATCTGTATTCTTTTTAATTTACCAGAAACTTCAAAATAAATTCTCACCCTGTACTGAAACCTGTTTCAGCATCTCACTGCCACAAGCTGATGAGGCACGTGACATTAATTTGAACCCCGCACACTAGAACCGGTACTGAAAGCATAATGGAAACACAATGTGTACCGAGCCAAGTAGAACCATGTTGTACCGGTACTAAAGGTACTAATGGAAAAGGAGCAATGGAGACAAATGAGACAAACAACCATTCATTCTCTCTCACCTAGAGACAATTTAGAGTTACCAATCAGTCTAACACATGTTTTTGATCTGTGGGAGGAAAAAGGAAGTACCCCGGCCAGGATTTGATCTGGCATCGTTCTCGCTGAGAGACTTCAGCTCTTAACAACTGAGCCATTGTACCGCTAACTACCAAAATTTTATTTTCAAATGTCTCAGCAGTGGAGGTGGGGGGCATTGATGAACGACTTGTTTAATGCTGCTATTGGACATCAGACTGACGTTTTACCAAAGCTGAGAATGTGATGAGCAGAAAGCCATTATAAATTTGTGTGTGTGTTGTTTCACATTTTTGTAGAAACTTATCTTGCTTTTCTTTCTACAGAAAGAAGAGTTTTCAAGAAGAAGCTATCCCAGGACCAAGTAAAAAACTTTGCTGATCAGCTGGCTCATGTTGGAACCACTGAAGGTTTTCCTCCAGAAATTCCTCTTATTCAACCAAAAACTGAGCCAGCAGAGCTGCAGGGTGAGTGACTGGTTCTTGACTGGTTCTTCTGTTCAGCGTGCTTCTTTAAAACTCCCAATGGATCAGTTGGTAACTGAACTGTGTGTGTGTGTGTGTGTGTGTGTGTGTGTGCGTGCGTGCGTGCGTGCGTGCGTGCGTGCGTGCGTGCGTGCGTGTGTGCGTGTGTGTGTGTGTGCAGTCGCTGCAGTGCAGGTGAAAGTAGAGGAGATGGAGACCCCCATTGAGCACCCCAAAAAAACTCAAGTCTTACTGAGTGCAGTGAAACAAGAGGAGGCCGAGCAGGAGATTGAACCCAGACGTCCAGAACCCAAACAGAGCCAACCAGAGGGCAGAAAGATAGTAGGAGGTGAAACTGCAGAGGTCAAAGGTGAGGACAACCACGCCATGAGCAGAAATGTTGAGTGGAGTGAAAACCAGAGGCAAAGACCTGCACCTGAGGATCTTAGCAGCCTGGATGAGATGAGGAGGAGCAACACGGAGCAAGACACAAGAAGCTGAAGTGATAGAGATGTACGACTAGAACTCTTGCTTTAAAAAAGTAGTTCAGCTCTTAAAATTTGTTCGTAGGTTTTTCACAGAACCCAGTTTTTTATTTCTGCGTCTTTTAGAAAGTTTATTGTGGCCAGATTGATGAGCTAACAGCTAGTCTGAGCAGGACTAAGACCAGAATGGATCATTGATGGCTTCAAACAACTTGAATAAAACATCAAAGCTCTTCATGTGAATGTTCTACAGAACCTTTACATCACTATCAAATTGATGTTACACGGTTATTTATGTAAATTCTGTGGTTATTTGCCAGCACTATAACAGCTAAAACTCGTGACATAATCTCATTTTTTACTGGTTAACTGATCACTGGAAATGTCTCCACCACTTGAACTTGTTTGTGGCAGAAGGTTAAATGTGTCGGACACCATGAGCTCAGTCCAGCTGTGAGAGCAGCTTTACCTGCAGAACAGGTCTGATCAGTTGTTGGTGAGATGAAACCATTTGGTTCCCCTGGAGTCCCAACAGTGAAAGATGTTAGTGTCCAAACTTAGTCCAGTACCATCCCACTTCCAGTGTCACTGCACAGCGTGGTGCTGCTTTTTGTGTTTTTTTATTTTATTTTGTATGTTTATTTTTATTTTGTATAAACATTCAATAAAAAATAAACCGTTCTTTAAACTTACTGTTTTTCCTCCCAGCTAACGCTTGATGTTTATCAGTCACTGCTGAACGTTGAGCAAGAACGTTTTTGCCTCTGTGTGTTCGTTTGTCCATTCTGTTAGCAAAATATCTCATGAATCACTGAACGAGTTTTAATGAAACTTTAGTCGGAGTCTGAGAGATTATGTACACGGGGTCCCAGTTACATCCAACAATAAAATGTATAAGAAAAACAGTAATAAGATCTATGATATGAACTAAGAAAAGCATCAACTAAATATACGCTTAGCACTAATAGCATAAAAACATTACGTCGAACAGCAGCATGAACACGAGCATGAGTCTGTGTGAGCAGATGAGCACGCGTGAACACATCAACATGAAACAGATCAACATGAAACAGATCAGCAGCAACTTGATGTGATTTTTAACAGTGATTATTAGTGATGTTACTTCTAACACGGAAGCTTCAAAGCACGCTTCAAACTCGACAGGGTAGTTATGGTGAAGCAGTGGGCCGGAGCTAGCTTCATGTGACGTCACCGATGACGTGTGAACCACTTCACTGCTTCATTTAGACCGAGTCAGCTGACTGCTTGGAGTTGACAAGCGGAGTTTCAAAAATCTGGCGCGATTCAGTGTATTTAAGATGGCTCAAGCCTCGGTTCACATCCCCGTTCTACACATATTATAGTTACGAACAGCTCTTGTTTTTTGATATTCAGACAGTGGTTCATTTAAGTCGGATCCTGTCAGAACAAGATCCTGAAACTATAATTTTGATGGCTCGGATCCGCCAACTCCGCCTCTAAAAGTCCAAAGTCATTGCGCATTTTTATTTTGATTATTTATTAAAAGTACAGAGTGGATGTTCTGGCCGTGCCATGCTCCTGCCAGCAGAGACACGGACTGCATGTCCCGCGGGGAGCGTCTTCATCCTCCTCCAGCTGTTCGCCCTGAGACAGTTGTTTTACGCACAGCGTCTCCAGACAGCTCTGCAGGACGCGCGCACAACTGCAGTGTCGGAACTCCTGCATACATTACAGTGCATAACATTTCAGACAGAATAAATAAGCTTACAGTAAAAAAAAAAAAAACGAGTGAAATGTTTGATGTGTATTACATCATGTATCAAAACAACGGCACTAATTAGTCAAAATAACAGCAATCAAAATGTTCAGCGATCAAAATGTTGAAAAGACAATTTTTCTAAAATAAATGGATGGATGGCAGTGAGATTGGAGCAAAACACAGGACTGAACTCAGCTGAGAAGAGTTCAGGTCGGCTGTGTGTGTGTGTGGGTGTGTGGGTGGGTGGGGTGGTTAGGACGCCTGACAGACTGTCAAGGACCTGCATTCATACACAGGCTTGTTAATTGTTGCTCTCTAAAATAGTAATTTCAGTTCAACCTTTGTTTATACAGGTTTAGCCTCATTGAGCCTTGTCATTTACAAGAGACCTGTTTTTAACCAGTTTATTCAAATGTTTAACAACCTGTTAAAATACACCAAAATGCAGGAAATGGCATCTCTTTTATTCCAATTTTTCTGGTGGAGGACACATGAATCAGGAGCGGAACTGACCTCAACCTGCACAAACGTGGCTGTAACTCAGTGATTTCTACAGATACTGAGTAAAATTTGATGTGGTAGTAGCTGAGAGTCATTCCCACTACTTACAGATCACAGCTTCAAAAGGGCAGGTGATATGCATTATTTCAAGGAAAGCTTCTTCTGTCGCAGAGCAAAGTGGGGAATTGGAAATATGCTCCGTTCATACGTCTTGTGAACACGACAAAAAATGAGGCACCAACTTCCATTCTGGTGTGAATAAAGGTCACTCATGGGTTGCTACGTCAAAATTACACAAATATACATGGAACAAAAATATAAATGTAACATTTGCTTCTATTTTTCACGAGCTAAACAAAGATCTAAAACATTTTCTTTTTACACAATAGGCCTTAATTCTCTCAAATATTCACAAATTTGTAAATCTGTTAGTGAACACCTCTTTGCTGAGGTAACCCCTCCACCTCAGGTGTGGCTGATCAAGATGCTGATGAGACAACATGATTATTCACAGGTGTGCCTTAAGCTGAGCCCAATAAAAGGCCACTCTAAAATTATTATTTTATATATGAATATTTCTGTTCAGTGTCCTGAGACGACTTATGTTGTGACTTGGCGCTATATAAATAAACTGAATGGAATTAAAATGTGCAGTTTAACTGTATTGGGGGGGGGGGGGGGTCAGAAAATGGTCAGTGAGCCACCATTGAGTGAGTGGTGTGACCACCATTTGCTTCACACAGTACAAACACATCTCTTCATAGAGTTGATGATGTTGATTGTGGCCTGTTGAATGTTGGTCCACTCTTCAGTGGCTGTGTGAAGTTGTTGGGTATTGTCAGATACTGGAACACGCTGTTGTATACACTTGTCCAGAGTATCCCAAACATACTCAATGGGCAGTGGTTGGATGTAACGAAGTGTACTTCGTTACTGTACTTATGTACATTTTTCATGTATCTGTACTTTACTTAAGTAGAGTTAAACATGGGTACTTTCTACTTTTACTCCACTACATTTCACATTAAGTATCTGTACTTTCTACTACACTACATTTCTATAATGTGTTACAAGTTACATTCACGTTGCAGTTTTTTTTTAATTTGTTCGTTAGTTTGAAAGTAACCAATGGTGAAAGGGGAGTTGGTCCATTGAATCACTGTGAAGTGGACAGGTAACATTAGACCCACCTTCAAGAAGAACTGGACCAATGACGTATATTCTATATACATCATTGAGCTGGATGCACCCACAACACTGCTAACACACCCAAAATGGATTCTACTGCGGAGAGTCAGACAGAAGATACGCCGCGTTACCCATGGCCTTATTGAAAAAGTATTGAAAGACTATTTAAAGATTATTGAAAGACTATTGAAAGACTGTTCAGTACAGTAGTAATGAGCCAGACTGGACTCAGAAACTTTGAAAATCAACGTCTTCTGAACTTGAACAAGACATTCTTGCTGCAATATTAAAATGTGTCGGTCATAGGATGTTAGGAGACGAGAGATGTCTCCAAATGTCTCGACACTCGGGTCCAAGTTTTGAAAATGGTGTCAGGAAGTTAAAATTTTGTTCACTATTGACCCATTACAAGATTGACTAGACAGTATTTTAACTAAAGTTGATGACAAATTCAAAAATACTTAATTTCCCTTTGGGATTAATAATTTGTTGTTGTAACTCGTTATCCTCATTTCATTAAGAGACGTTATAGATATTGATGCTGTAGGCAGGAAGGATCTCTTGTAAAGGTCCATCCCACAGTGGATCCTAAGAAACTGGCTGCAGATGCCCTCCGATCCGTCGACCCAGACTCGGCTGGCCTCTCGGTTCCCCCGGGCTATAGGATCGCCCGAATGCCAGGCAGAACTCCACCCAGAGCGATGGCCACTCCTCCCAGCAAGTAGGTATCTCTGCAGCCAAATTCGGAAGGCGTATCTGGGTGGTCATATCTGATTGGACTATAGGAAAATGGGCGTATCTGGGCGATCATATCTGATTGGACTATAGAAAAATGGGCGTGTCTGGCCGGCCGCATCTGATTGGACGATAGAAAAATGGGCGCGTCTGGCCGGTCGCATCTGATTGGACGATAGAAAAATGGGCGTGTCTGGCCGGCCACATCTGATTGGACGATAGAAAAAAAGGCTGAACGATAAAATGCCGTAACCACAGACACATTATGTCTAAAAACAAGGTGTTATTGGCAGATTGTGTTACCCACAGGCATATTATGTCTATGGTGTTAACCGGTTCGACATTAGCGGCATCTCAGGTTCAACACTGGCGGCGTCTCGGTTCGACATTGCTCCAGTATACTACCGCGGCGTCTCCATAACTTCTTTTTTCGACTCTCTTAACACAGAACTTCCGGTTACATTTCAAAATAAGAGCAACATAACTGGGTAGTGGGGAGAGCTAAATGTTAGGTTTTTTTAATACCTAGCCATAACATTAAAAAACAAATTCCATTTTGGTTGTTGAAAAATGTGAACAAAGTTACAATCGATTCATAAAGAAAGAAAAATATTAATGATACTTAAAGTGGCCTTGGGACAAAGGAGGTTTCCTTTAACTTCACATTTTCTTCAACTTGCAGTCACTACAGATGAGTGATTGTCAGTTTCTGTAAGATTTCTGCAACTGGAGCCGGTATTTCTGTTTACTGGTTAACTTCCTCAGCTGTCTCACATTTTAAAGGTCAACCCTACTCCATGTTTCAGTAGAAAACAAGCACATTTAGGAGTCAGTACATAACCAGACTTTTGGCCCTCACACCTATACCCAGTTGCTTATGCTGCATGATGAGATCAGATTTATCCATATTTTAGAAATTACATTTAGCTTAGTCGACAAAACAATACAAATGAAGACCGTCTTAAAAAAAC